ACCTATCCCCACGCAGGGAACCCACGCAAACACGGGGAGAACATGCAAACTCCACACAGAAAGACCCCAGCCTGATGGTGGAATTGAACTCAGGACCTTCTTGCTGTGCGGCAGCAGTGCTAACCACCATGCCACCATGCCGCTATACTAACATAATGTATATTATGACATTATAGGTTTTTAGTAATTCTAATTTATAATTCTAATTAATTATTATTATGAATTATAATGACATGTTTCATGTAGATGCCCTGAGTGATAATGGATCTCTTTTACCACTAATGCTTTTTTTTTTTTACTACAAGTAATCAATCAATAACTACATACATATCTATCTATCTATCTATCTATCTATCTATCTATCTATCTATCTATCTATCTATCTATCTATCTATACTGTTTTATACTGTAAATAAAATAAAGTTTAGGATCAATTTCTTTCTTTGCACTGAATGAGAGGATATATTTTATAGGCTTTTGGTATAGCTGCAATAAAAAAAAAAGATTTCCATATTTAAAAAAAGATTCTGAAGGAGTTTGACTGCCGGACTTGGAAACACGTACCTTCATATTGTAGTATTATGATTCTTACTTGAAACAAGAGTCAAATACTTTTTCCAACATTATGCAAAATAGTTAATTCAGAATCTTTTTCAAACATTTGTGCACAGTCACCTTTTAAAGTCATACCATCTGTATTAAAGTACAGGGTGATGCCCAAGAACCAAAAAGTTGTCCCCAATTTTTTCTGTCCATATTTGCATTTAATTTTTATAGATTTTTCTGATTTTCTATACAGGCTCCCACTGACTGCTTTGCGAAGCACAACCTCACAAAGCTGTAAATGCTCCTTGCAAATGCATATGGTTAAGTACATTTCATGGTATTCCAAGCCAAGAACAGCCACACTCTCGTTTTATCCACTCATTATAATTGTTGTTTACCTCCTGTTCATATGGCTTCTTCTGCAAACGCTTGCGAGGAAGCTTATTACAGTCTGCATACAGACCCACTTATGTATTGGGCGGTGATGCGTCAAGGAAAACCGATTTAGTGACATATTTCCTAAGTACTTGTCCAAAATAAAAGAAGATATGTTTTCATCATGGGCACTAAATGCCGCTAAAGCCGCCTGAGCGAGATGTACGCACGAGCATCGTTACATTTTCAGTCACTTTAGTTAAAATGTTACTTTTGGCTTCATGTCGCCCTGCAGCCGTGCTTGAATTTAGGGTAGACGTTTTCTAGCATGCACTGTACAACCGGAAATCATAATGATCATTCTTGCTGCCTTCACGGTACTGTCGGGTGAGGGGTCACAAATTGAGACAGACTCCTCTCGTTTGCATATACTATTTCCCCACTGCATAGCGAAAGACAACATGACCCCGCATCCTTCACCCTCTATTCGTTAACTTAACCGTCCGCCTTCAACCCAGGACTTATTTACTATAGCGGAGTTGAGTGGACCGCTACTTTTTTTTTGCCACTTTTAATTATCTGCCCTGTCCGACCAGCCGGCTGCAGCTGTCTCTCTTCAGCAACGGGAGGTAAGAGAGGTGCTCCGCGGCGGGACAATCCGCTGCTAGCCACCAGCTAACTTAGCTAGCAGGCGAGCTAACCCGTTAGCAGCTGGCGGTGGTCCCAGCCCTTCGACTTAACACATAAAATGTTTGGCGGTAGCACTCTAGAACGGTGATTTTTTCGTAAACGGTTGGTTGTTTGAAACATTGCTCAGATTGCCCTTAAAGTGCAAGTTTTGGGTAAGTTGTTAGCCGAGACAAGACAGACCGTTTTATCAAGGTAACCAGAGTAAGTAGCATCGTTTCCCGAGTTTTTCAAAATAAAACTGTAATTTGCGCTCATAATTGGAGCAAAATAATAGTTGTCATTTCAGTAAATGGGTCAAAAGGTGAATATATTTAACTTTCTAAGCGTTTCACATTCATCTTTGTATTTCTATGTGTATAAGTGGATAATGAAATTTGAGAAAAGACATGGCATGTGAAAAGTATTTTACTTTATTTATTTATGTTTACTACTCTGTCGTTTTACAGCTGAGTTAAGTGTAAAAACCTAACATTACATTGAGACATAAATGGAAATAGCCCCAGATAGAAAGAGAGGTGGAAAATAGACTCATTTTGTAAAATAGCTATAAAATAGCTATATGCTTCCGAATTCAGTTTAATTCTGTCTGTGTATAATGTGAAAATGGTTATTGTTATCGAGCTACCAGTTTGTCTTACTTTGAAGGTTGCAAGCATCGCTTCCGCTTTCTAGTCTCGTTCTGGCTAACAGGACAGCTAAGCAGCAGTTGATGGGAGGTTGGTGCTCAGGGGAACCAACTGGAGTTGACGGCGCTAGCTTAGCCAGCACAGGCTGCTAGGGGAGTGATCTGTTGTTGCAGGTTTGGCAAGATGCTAATAGAGGCGATTTAACCGCAACACACTGCAGCAAGTCTCCTGTGTGACTCCTCAGAGGTCCAGCCGAGCTGAACTTCGCTGAGCCATGCGACAGTGGTGTGTCCCCGTTGCGACCCCACGCACTGAACCACTCCCGGGGCGCCTGTCCGTGTCACCACCTCCATCAGGTAAGATCTACAACGAGACAGCGAAACTGTCAAAGTCAGCCAGCTGCTGAGATCTGGATGTTACAGTTGTGCTTAGAGAGATCCGTGTGTGGTAAAGGTGGGGGGTTAAATCACTGCGCGCTGCTTTGGGAGCGCTTGACTTTTTAAGCAGAGAGTTTTGTAAAAAAAAAAAAAAAAATCCAACAACTTAACTTTTTCCAGGCGGCAGTGTTCTGGAAGTTTCCTCGTCTTGCAACACATTTAACAAGTTGAACTTTTTCTGTTTGTTGTAGCAGCATCATTATCCATTATTTACAGTTATGCAAAAGTGGAAGAAATTATTCGAGTAGATTTTTGTCATCCAAGAACAGGGCAGGGTGTTTAAAATGTATCATCCTGCTTAGGTGAAAGTGCAAAAGTTTTATCATCATAATGTACTTAATGCACTTCAAGTGAAAGTTCTCATGCAGACTTTCATGCAAGATTAAAATCATCTGCAGCTGGAGGCTAATGTTAGTTACTGCTGGTAGATTCAAAAATACATATTAAGGAGACAGATATTTTAGAATACATGCAAAACCTACTTTAGAAGTACTTAAGTGCATTAAACATACTTAATGCTGCTACCTTATTTCCAGAGGTGTCGCCACAGTGCAGTGATCCATATATTTTATTTGGCACAGTTTTTTCGCCATATGCCCTTCCTTCCACTGCTGTACTTCACTAAAGTACCTGAGTAAATGCACTGAGTTATGTCTACCACTGGTCCTATCTGTACTAACATCTAGTGGCACTGATCATCATAGAAAATCAAATTTGAGGGGGGCTAATGCTACCTGATGCCCCATCTCTTAATACCCATGCTTTTCATGTTAGCAAGGTCATGTCAAATTCCTGCAATTCTTTAAAAAAAAAAAGTTTAATGTGATCTTTACTTTTTAGTGCATCTTAGTCATAGGTGAATACTAGGATAAGGCTCCCTGCAGACTTGCGGGACTTAAAAAAAAAAAAAAACCCTAAAAGGATGGATATGACTCAGCCGAGGTGGGACCTGATGTTAGGTTACGTATGCCAGGGTGATCTTACTTTAATTCCACCCAGGACAAATGGAGCAAGGTTAGCCTAAGTGCAGTGTTGCCAAGCATTTGAAAGGTGGCCAAAACTTTTTATTTTTTATTTTTTGAATGACCCAAAGGGTTCCTCGCAGGAGAACAGTGCGGAGTGCTCTGTTCTCTAAGTGCAGTTTTTTTATAACCTCGTCATGTTTTCACTCAAAGTTATTTGGGTTTTTTCGAGTATTAACGTTACCAAAATACTTGGATCAGATTTGCATTTAAAGTGTCATTATAAATAAACTCCTTCAAAGTGCTTGATTCCTGCTGCGTGTGCCTTACTCATCTATTAATATTCCTTTGATCATTTCTCTGCAGGTTCTGAAAAAGTCTGCAACATATTATCTCTATTTAAGGTCTGTGAATGGTGTTGAGTGGGGATAAATATAGCTGTTTATGTCTTGGTAACACTGTGAAGTCTCGTGGTGCTGTTTATCTGGTGAGAAATCAGCCCGTCCGTGCTGCTCTCGGGTGTATTAATAGGTTGATGAGTGGTTCAGACTCATTCACAGATTTGGTCTTGTGTCTCATTGGTTTCACCTCGATAAACCCGGCTCATTTACTCTAGATGCCAGAATGGAGTGCTGTGAGGTGGAGCCCCGCTACACCATTGAGCAGATTGACCTCCTGCAGCGCCTGCGCCTGTCCGGCATGACCAAACCTCAGATCATCCACGCTTTGGAGTCCCTGGAGAGGCTGGACCCCGATCACCGCCCGTCCCACTGTGACTCTCACCCGGCCCCTTCCAACAACGCCCCCGCCACTGCTGCCCCAGCCCCGTCCTCGTCATCATCATCCTCCGCCTCCTCGCTCTCCCTGGCCTCAGCAACCACGCAGACCTCCGGCCTGGACGGCGCCGCGCTGTCCCCAAGCAACAGCTTTGAGGCCTCTCCCCCACCCCTCTATCCTCCCACTGTGGCAGTTCAGCGGTCTTTCAGCTACGACATGATGGGGGAGGAGGATTGGGACCTGGAGGAAAAGGTGGAGGAGTACATGAGGTAAGGAGAGGGAGAACGGGAGGATTGTGGTGCAAGAGAGACCAAAGGAATAGTAGAGAGACTATTATAACATCAGATAATGACAGCTACTATTCCCAGAGGCGAAGGCTTATTCTTCAGAATTTACATGCAGTTAATTCAGGTCAGGTGCTCAGGGATGGCTGAAAAAGGAGAAGCAGCAGTGAATAAGGTTAGTCGGAGCAAAGGCTGGTGTTTTAACCACCGTGTAATGGTTCTTCTGGCAGTGATGGGGCCTTTTGTTGCTTTCGCAGGAGAGACAGCAACCTGGTGAAAGAAGAGATTAAAACTTTCCTGAACAACCGCAGAATCTCTCAGGCAATCGTGGGCCAAGTTACAGGTACTCTGCTTTGCTGTGACATCCCCGATCATTAAACTGTTGATCGTGCAGTGAGAAACACAGGGGGGGCTCAGCATTTAATTAGAGTTGAACTTTTGCTGTCTTGATTTAATTCAAACAAAATGCTAAACCAAATGATTCTGTATTGAACAAATGAAAAGCTGCTTTCAGGCTTTTTGCTCTTATTCTCTCTGCCAACTCATTCACTCGTGTTTCTTTTTTTAAACTGCAAAATGAAGTGTAACTGGCTCACAGATGCTCCCATCCCACTTTCGCCAGTTTCTATTCAATACTTGAACCTTGGCTTCAGGCATCTGCTGATGCGGAGTTTTGATACTACTGAAACTACTGCAAACTTAAAGCTGTTAAAGTTGTGAAATCTCTCCAAGCTGCTCTTGTTTTGTTGTTAACTCCCTGTTGGATTAAATTTGTTGATAGTTTGAGACCGTTAGGAGACCACGCACACAAAGCAACATTATTGTGTACAATGAAATTGTGGCCGCGTTGCTTTTGGTGGTTTTAAAGATGGAGAGCATGTCTGCAACATGCAATCATGATCAGTTGTAATGAACTAGTGGAAACTCCAGTTTTCACTAGTTGAACATCATAGACTCAGAAATTCAGAAACCTATATAAATAGTGACATAGTTGCTGCAATACGAGGATTTAACTGAAAAATTATTTGGGTGCATAGCAACCTTGCTGGTATAGTAATATAACCAGTTGGCAACCAGTTGAGTCGAGTCCCCTACTGCAAAGAGACAAATTGCACTTATCAGTGTAGACTGATTCAGGTTAATGTCAATGTATTGACAATCTCTCTGCTTTTATAAATGAGACGGCAACTATTTGCAAACTTTCAGCAGTCTGAGTCAAGACTGTTTGGAAAAGACTTGCCTCCTATCAGCCAACCTGTGCAATCACCTTGCGATTGGAAGTGGTTTCCACATCTATTTGCGATCGGTCACCAAATGGGGGAAATTCCACGCCATCACAGATGCTTAGACATGAGTTTCACACATTCTGTTAAAACCTAACCATAAACTACCCCTCAGATACGTCAAGTTTCCATTAGTGGGCTAAGTTAATGTTGTAGCTTATATCTAAAATAAAGATCCTAAAACACAGAATTTCCTGGTCTTGGTGGTCATTTTAGGGCCATCGAGTTGGTAAAAAACTTGAGAAAATATTGCGATTAAAGTGTTTAAATTAACTGCTTTGTCTAACAAAGTTCAGAGAGATTCACTGTACTGTCGTGTAGGCGCCTAACTGGTAACTGGACTTGCTTTCAAAGCCTGAATACAGTTGAGTACCTGAGCACAGTCTGACTTTTAATACCAAGAAAAGGAAAAATAAGCACACAGTCAGAAAGATTTTAAAGAGCCTTTTAATGGGCTTCAGCTAATGCCAGCTGTATTATGTGTGTTTGCAGTAGCAGCAGGTTCATGTCAGTAAACTTCTACTCCTTCCTTGAAAATGGATTGCACTACATCACGTCCTTAATTAAAGTATCGATGTCGGGGGATGGCTTCATTAGCTGAACAGGAGTATTCCAGAGCTGGAACGCAGCCGATCTCTCCAGCAGCGCCGCCGCCGATGGTGCGCCGCGACATAAATCATTGTCCTCAACCTGTTAAAATAACGTGTGTCACCTCCCACACGCAGGCATCAGCCAGAGCTACATTTCTCAGTGGCTGCTGCAGCAGGGCCTGGAGATGAGCGACTCCAAGCGCAGAGCTTTCTACCGCTGGTACCTGCTGGAGAGGAACAACCCAGGTGAGATGCAGGCCAAGAGGTACAAGCGTAACATGTAACTTTTACAGAGGAGAGGAGCGGGACACAGATCCTCCCAGGAATAATGGATTTTGGATTAATTATGAGAAGGTGCAGATCAGTGCCTCAAGGTTGAATGTCAGGTTAATGATGAAAGATTACCCTGCAGATTAGATAACAGAAGGCTCGTGTTAGAAAGGGATAATATGTCTTGTGTGTCTTGAATGCGAACCACCGCTTGCTAACCCTTCCCCATCCACCTCTCCTCCTCCTCCTCCTCCTCCTCCGCTTTCCCCGCCCACCATCCTCCCGCATGGTAAATCCGCACACCTTTAATTCCTCCCGCTTAACCCCAACCTGGTCCACAATGGCTGCGAGGTCGAGAAAGGACACGAGACAAATCTATATTTTCAGCTAAAGGTAGTCCCGTCACAGGAGATTCTAATCGATAACGTTAAGGCTTCTGGTTGGGAGATGAAACTTTAGCGGGCGAATCCGGCTTCTCCGCGCAGGCTAGAGTAACAACTCGGGTCAGCGCTGACCTCGCCTCGTCCTGAGATGCAAATTCGGCAAGCATTAAAACGGCGACGGCACGACAAACGGGCGTCAACTCAAGATGCTCCCTGCTTTTATTGATTATTGTCAAACAGCATGCTCCCGCACCAAATCATGTCAAAAAGTCCCATCTTTACATTGTTAGTGTGTGAAATAAACAAAGCCGCTGATGGACCATCTGCCGTCCCTGCTGTCTCCTTTCATCTTAATGCTTTATTATTTCCCCCCCTCCCACATCGTCCCACTCAGGCTTCGCTTTAGCTCCTCTGTAGTTCCCAGCCCTGACGCTGGAGGTACTCTGGTGCTGGTTTTCATTCCCACATGGCTAACAAACAAGCTATTAACAGTGATACTAACAATAACTACTTTGTCTGCAATGTTTCTGAGCCAAAGTGGCCACAGCGCTTTGCTTCTTACATGAGCTCTTATTGACCTGTCCTCCATGAATCTGTAAAGAAGCAGTGTTGTCTGTGAAATTGATTCCTGATCGGCCAATCCACTGAAATTACAGCGCGTGTATTTGTTGATAAAGTTACCATTTCAAGGCACGTCTGCAGGAGTGTGTCACTTAATCCAGAGACATAGATGCAAACTATCAGCCTCCAGTTGTTGCCACAGCTGGTGTCTGTGTCCCGTGGCGGTGGCCTGCCTGACTATTGGTTTTGTCCCGACTGAAGGGCTGAGGTGGAGTGAAAGCCAGCACAGCGTGAGTCCCAGGGCCAGGGGAGGGGACAGAGACGGGACGGTAGCAGGGGCAAGCGGCAGCCTCCCCAACATCCTCCCCAATCCCAACACCAACCTCAACCCCAACCCATCGTGGAGCAGGCAGAGAGAGCTGCTGATGCACTTGCTGCCGTGGTACACTGCTGCAGCCGCAGCTGCCCAAGCCCAGCCAGGTAACTGCGCCCTTACTCGCGCACCCCCACCCCGCCCTCCTTGGCATCAGCAGCTTGCCACAGGAGACACATGCACCACAGTGGGTCTGCATGCTGATCAGCCTGGACCTGCTTTGTCAGCACGGGGTTTTACAGCAGTCTCAGATGGCTCCTAAACTTAGATTTCTAATGCTAAAAAGAAATGGCTCCAGACGTTTCATATCCAGCTCACCATTATAGCGAGTGGGTGTGGTTTAATGTAGTTGTCTCTGTGTGTTCTGAGTCATCCAGGTCATGATAATCTAAGGAACTTGGAAAGAAAAGTGAATGGACTTCTTTAAGTTTCTTAAAGATGTTTCACCTCTCATGCGAGAGGTTGTTCACACGTTTATCTAGAAGTGAGTTTCTTACTCTCTGTTTAAGACTCCCTTTCTGTTCCATTCGTGTCAACCTTTCTGTGACAGTGTTTTCATAAAGCTCGCTTAGTCAAAGTACAGATGGTAAAAAGTTCTGATAGGGTTTGACATAAAATCCCACATGCACTGTGATTGGTACCCCAAATTCTTCACATTCACAATCAGATACTAAACATAGTTTAAACTTTGAGCTTTTAAAAGCTTTTGAAAAGATTCAAAGTCTGTGTCATGCAAATTGTGTTGATATCATGTCCTTTAAAAACCTGAGACATGAATGTGATCTGAAAAGAATAAGACTTGACTTTACTTGACCACTACAAACGCCTTCTGTTTAGGACTGTTTAGGACAGGGCATCATATCAGAGTTTTTTTGTTTGTTTTTTTAAACAAAAAAATCCATTCAAATGCATTTCAGAAAAGTATTTGATCCCTTTGCAAAACATACTTTAGCACCTGGTGGCAAAACCTTTGTTGGCAATCACAGAGGTCAGACGTGTCTTGTAGTTGGCCACACGTTTTTCACGCAGAGGGGATTTTGTCCCACTCCACTTTGCAGATCCTCTCCCAGTTATTAATGTTTCGTGGCTGATTTTTGGCAACTTTAACCTTCAGCTCCCTCCACAGATTTTCTATAGGATTAAGGTCTGGAGACTGACTAGGCCACTCCAAGACCTCAATATACGTCTTCTTCAGCAAATTCTTTGTTGCCTTGGCTGTGTGTTTTGGATCATTGGCATGCTGGAATACCCACCCATTACCTGTTTTTAATGCCCTGACTGAGGGAAGGAGGTTCTCACCCAAGATTTGACGGTACATGGCCTCATCCATCCTCCCTTTGATGCACTTTGGTTGTACTGTCCCCTTGGCAGAAAAACACCCCCAAAGCATAATGTTTCCACCTCCATGTTTGACCCTGGGGATGGTGTTCTTGGAGTCACAGGCAGCATTCCTCCTCCTCCAAACATGGTGAGTTGAGTTGATGCCAAAGAGATTTTGGTCTCATCTGACCACAATACTTTCTCCCAGTCCTTCTCTGAGTCATTGAGATGTTCAGTGGCATACTTCAAACGGGCCTGTACATCTGCCTCCTTGAGCCGGTGGGGCCTTGTGGACACTCACTGAGCTGCTTGGCGATGGTCTTGTAGCCCATTCCAGCCTTGTGTAGGTCCAAATTCTTGTCACTGACATCCTAGGAAAGCTCTTCTCTTCTCTTCTTTTATACAAGAAACAAGTAGGGTTGGGTATCGTTTAGGTTTTATCCAATACCGGTGCCAAACCGGTACTTTTGAAACGGTGCCGGTGCTTAAACGGTGCTAGAACCGGTGCTTAAAGAATGGAAAACACAAACTTTGTCCAAAAACTTCTTATGTTTTTATTTTTTAGCAGTTTCTTTTTATCTGCAAAGTGATAACCAAGTTAGCCTTTTCTGTTCATACAACATACCACCTTTGGTTGGAACTGGTGCTTAAACAATGGAAAACACAAACTTTGTCCTAAAACCTCTCATGTTTAGCTGTTTTTTTTTTTGTTTTGTTTTTTTTTTGGAAAAAGATTTCAATGTTAGCCTTTTCTGCAGCTATAGGACATATATGGTATCACTCTATCAAACAAGAAGACAGCCGCATGTAACTACGACGGTGTTTGCTAGTTCACCTTACATGCATTAATGTAATAACGTGGTTAGCCTACTCAACGTAAATTACACACGAACAACATTAAGCTACTCACGCAGAGAAGAACGGCTGCTGCTGCATCATCATCCTCATCATTTCTGCTACACTGGCAGGGCTAGGGGCCAGGACTCTCCTCTTCGGGTTTTTGGGGGATGTTGCTAACTCCGGGTCCGATAACAGGCACCACACCCGCAGTAGATGTGCTGCGGTGTGAGGTCTCGCAGCAAGCTATCAAATACGGTGCATTTCTCGGCTTTTAAAAAAAACGCTATGCGTCGCCAGGTGTTTCATCAGATTCGAGGTGTTACCTCCTTTGCACAGTATCACCTTAAAGCACTTGTTGCAGGCTGCTGAGTTTGCATCTTTTGCTGTGAAGTACAGCCAGACTTTTGACCAGCTTCGCCTTGGGCATTTTTAATCTGTAGCTCTGCTCTAAAAGAACATACGTACCTGGGCCCGCCTACTATCCTTGGAAAGGTAAAATGATTGGCTAGAATCCAAAGTGTATGACATCTCAGGAAAAAAAGCACCGAAATAAAGACCGAAATGTGCGCTGCTTTTCGTCTGGTTACTCGTTTATGTCAGAACGGTGCCATAATGGCACCGGATACCGTACCCATCCCTAGTAGCAAGTTGAAAAGGCTGTCATTGTCAGCTTTACCTGTATAAAATACACCTGGGAGCCAGAAATCTTACTGATTTATAGGGGATAAAATACCTATCCTTCATGAAAATGTAAATTAATTGATAACTTTTTTGAAATGCATTTATTTTGTTATCGTTCTGTCTCTCACTGTTCAAGTAAACCTACCATTGAAATTATAGGCTGATCAGTTCTTTGTTAGTGGGCAAACTTACAAGATCAGCAGGGGTTCAAATAATTTTTTCCCTGACTGTATGTGCTAAAATATGCACTGAGGCTACATGAGCTTGTGCATCAATTTAATTTAGTTTTATTTATACAGCGCAAATCACCAACAACGTTGCCTCAAGGCTTTATATTGTAAGGTAGACCTACAATAATACATACAGAGAAAAACCCAACAATCATATGACCCCCTATGAGCAAGCACTTTGGCGACAGTGGGAAGGAAAAACTCCCTTTTAACAGGAAGAAACCTCCGCAGAACCAGGCTCAGGGAGGGGCGGGGCCATCTGCCGCACTGGAAGGAAACAGGATAAAGACATGCTGTGGAAGAGAGACAGAGGTTAATAACAAGTATGATTCAATGCAGAGAGGTCTATTAATACATAGTGAGTGAGAAAGGTGACTGAAGAAGAAAAACTCAATGCATCATGGGAATCCCCCGAGCAGCCTACATCTATTGCAGCATAACTAAGGGAGGATTCAGGGTCACCTGGTCCAGCCCTAACTATATGCTTTAGCAAAAAGGAAAGTTTTAAGCCTAATCTTAAAAGTAGAGATAGTGTCTGTCTCCCAATCCAAACTGGAAGCTGGTTCCACAGAAGAGGGGCCTGAAAACTGAAGCCTCCTCCCATTCTACTTTTAAATACTCTAGGAACAACAAGTAGGCCTGCAGAGCGAGAGCGAAGTGCTCTAATAGGGTGATATGGTACTACAAGGTCATTAAGATAAGATGTTGCGCAAATGGAAGAACGCAGTCTTACATATTTGTTTAATATGTGCGTTGAAGGACATGTCCTGGTCAAAAATGACTCCAAGGTTCCTCACAGCGTTACTGGAGGCCAAGGTAATGCCATCCAGAGTAAGAATCTGGTTAGATACCATATTTCTAAGATTTTCAGGGCCGAGTACAATAACCTCAGTTTTATCTGAATTAAGAAGCAGAAAGTTAGCGGCCATCCAGGTCTTTATGTCTTTAAGACATTCCTGCAGTTTAACTAATTGGTGTGTGTTATCTGGCTTCATGGACAGATAGAGCTGGGTGTCATCTGCATAGCAGTGAAAATGTATGCTATGTCTTCTAATGATGCTGCCTAAGGGAAGCATGTATAATGTAAACAGAATTGGTCCTAGCACTGAACCCTGTGGAACTCCATAATTAACCTCAGTGTGTGAAGAGGACTCTCCATTTACATGCACAAATTGGAGTCTGTTAGATAGATATGATACAAACCACTGCAGCGCAGTACCTGTAATACCTACAGCATGTTCTAATCGCTCTAATAGGATATTATGGTCAACGGTATCGAACGCTGCACTGAGGTCTAGCAGGACAAGCACAGAGATGAGTCCACTGTCAGAGGCCATAAGAAGATCATTTGTAACCTTCACTAAAGCTGTTTCTGTGCTGTGCTGAGCTCTGAAACCTGAAACTCTGAAACAGTTAACAGATCTAACAGATCTGTTAACTGTTTGACAACTAGTCTTTCAAGGATGTTTGATATGAAAGGAGGGTTGGAGATTGGCCTATAATTAGCTAAGACAGCTGGGTCAAGAGATGACTTCATCAGAGTGAAAAAAGTTATTTCAGAAGACTGAAATAATAATAATTTTAATGGGTTGTGTCTGGAGGGACAAAAACATGATAAAATGAACAAAAATGACTAAACCTCAGTTTTTAAATGCCATTGGATAAGACGATGTCAAACCTTCCGCTATAAAGAAAAACATATTGAAGGACACAGCAACGCCCTTTGTAAAGGTCTGGTCTTGGAAAGTGAAGTTGCATGCTCTCCCTTTGACAGGTGCTACCTTATCAATGCGTTCTTTGGTGAAGGAAGAGCCTGACTGGAGGACGGGGATCATGACAGGCGACAGAGCAGGGATAGTGGGCGGTCCACTGAGGCTGCGCAGAGGAAGCCGTTTCACCTGGAGAAAGGAATGCCAATCAATTATGGAGAGGTGAGGAAGGTTTAGCACTAATTTAGACTTGGCTTATGGTTTTCCATTCAGCTTTATTTTCTGTCGTGTATCAGGTTTGGATTGTTGGAGTAGCACTTTAAGCAGAGATTTTCAGACTAGGGATGTTCCTGGTGACAAAAAAATTAGACTAGCAAACTAATGTGAAACTAATAAACACTTAGATGTCAAAAACTGTCAAAGACATTTGAAATCATTAATCACATTCTTCAATCATACTTTAAATGCTGCTTAACTATGTGGCACCTCACATCATGGATTATGAATATGACATTTTATACATTAAAATGAAAATTAAGAAGAAGGAAAAAAAGAACAGCTCATGTTGAATATGATATGAAAATATGTTACTGAAAAGATGTTCAAGTCTCATTATTATCCATCAGTACATTTTCTTCGACTTGTCTGGGGCTGGGTCACACCTGCGCAGAGCGGCCTCCTCCAGCTTATCCTGCGAAACACTGGGGCGTACCAGGCCAGCCGAGAGAGTAATCTCTCCAGCGTGTCCTGGGTCTACCCCTGGGTCTCCTCCAGGTAGGACACCTCATCCAGGAGGTGACCACCTCAACAGGCTCCTTTGGTGCCAAGGAGTAACAGCTCCAGTCTGAGCCTCTCCCAAATGGCCGAACTCCTCATCCTCTGTTATGGAGAGGCCAGCCACCCTTAAGATAAAGCAGATTTCCACTGCTTATATCTGCAATGTCATTATGTCGCGTTTAGAACACTAATAATAATATGCTCAACAAAAAGATCAGGTTTAGATGAAGAGCTTTGTGGCGTTTTTCTACAACAGTGTCGGGACTGCAGCGCCATCTGATGGCAGATGGCTGCATAATATTTAGGACACAAAAATTTACAGACGATGAATATCAAAATGTTAACAGAATAAATGATACTGAACGAGCAATGATTAATCATCTGGTCAACTAGTCACACCCAGACCTAGACCTCCCTCCCCCCAGCCACTTCTTCAAGGATGGGAGGGACACAGAGATGTTTCCAAGCCAACAAAGAGACATAATTTATCCAGCGTCATGGGTCTTGGGTCTTGAACCACCTCACCTGGCTCTTCGATGTGGAGGAGTGGTGGTTCTACTCTGAGCCCTTCAGAGTGACCAAGCTTCTCTATCACTAAAGGACAGGGTGAGGTCCACAGGAGTGTGTGACCCAATACCCTTCAGAGGAAGTTCATTTCACTTGCATCCAGAATCTCAGTCTTTTAGTCCCTGCCCACAACTCCTTGCTATAGCTGAAAGTATGAATGTAGCCACCAGTAAATTGACAACTTCACCTTCAGCCCTCTGTTCACCATGACAGAGCAATATAATCTCAGCATTACTGCAGACCATCTGTCAGGCTTATAGTTTGTTTTACCGCCGTCTGTAGGTCCTCACCTCTGACAGATACCCTTTGTAATCTGGTCTTGACTGGTCTTGACTGGTCTTGGCTGTAGCTCAACGAAAGAGCACGTGAGTTTGGCTTTTGAGGGAGGGGCACCGATGGGGAAGGGGTGTGCTTTATTTAGGACACAAGATATAATTTGAGCTTTGGTTAAAGAAAATGAAAAGTCACTGTTTTATCCTGGTTGTCTTGTTTTCATAGTTAACTTAGCTGAAATTCAAATTCAGTTAGTCACGCACTGCTTCATAGGACCGAGGTTATTACAGTAAACTAAAACTAAATTCAAATCTAAAACCAGGTGGGACAAAACATTTTATATGAACTAAAAATGGCCTTTGGAAAAAAAACAAAACAAAATAAAACCGCTCAAATGATTTTGTAAATTTCCAAAATTAAAATTTGCCACAACCCGCCTAACTAGGGTTAGTACTGTGTCTATTCTGTTGTTCCGAAATATTTCCGCTGACAGCTGTCCCGTCTTCATAAGTGCAGTGACCAAAACAAATAGTGAAACTTACAAACCTAAGGTCAAACTACATATTTAGAATAACTCTGGATGGATCCTAAATTGTCACCATAAACATCTGCAGCCCCTTAAACAATGACTGGAAAATTCCCGTGGTCGCCTGTTGTGCTTAGATAAAGTTTATGTGCCGCTCTGAAGTAAAAAAAAAAAGCTCATAGAAAGCAGCCGAGATCGGCAGAACACTTTAGATGACTCGGAGCACATCTGTGCTCGAGTACTTGGAGCAGAAGCGCAGCGTCGCTTAAGCTAATGGTCAGCATTATAAACCTTTCCAGTATTTGTGTCCTTTATGGCTTCTTTGCCGCGGCTTCCTGCTCTCAATGGCGAGCAGAACCGGCTCAGTTTATGATGTCATTTTTCATTAAGGCTGCTGTGACCCTGCTTCCCTGGTACGTATTTGTCCCAGACAGTCTTCTCAGTAACCTAGACGGATGCTGAGAAAGAGGAGCACGGTGCCCGCTGTGTGCAATTGATTTCTCTATTAAATGGTTGCTGTAAGTATAGGGTGCAGTCTGGGCACTCAAAGTAATAAGAGCACGCAGACAACACTCACCAGCAGTACCCCGGGATTACGCAATTCTACTGCAGTGCTGATCCTTATGAGCTAGTTCAGATCCAAGGACGATACAGTAGAGGTGAAGATGTTGTGTGTGAGGGAGGGAGGGAGGTGAAAGGATAGGAGAGCTGGGAGAAATTGATCTCTGTGTTTTTTTTTTAATGTGAAATAATGATTCTTTTTCACTGTTAGACAGACAGGAAAAGGAAAGAGATGAGTAACACAAATTTGCAAAGAAAAAGATAAATAGTTGTATTTACGGGGTTAGAGTTTTGAATGTTGAAAGCTTAAAATGAATCTGCTTAATGGGTTCGTTAATCTGTCTCTTCACGGCGTGAACCTCCCCGCTGCTCTCTCGCTGTGTAAACATTGTCCTTAACTCTCCTGCCGCTTACTGCAAAAGCCTGAAAAGTTTATGAGGTGTAAAATTAGGGTGTAACTAGCTCGGCTCAGACCGGCGCTGCGCGTCGACTAATACCGTAAATGCCCATGACGCCTGCGTGATTGAGCTCTTTGCCAACAGAGCGGCTCTTCATGTCTTCCAGCTTCTTCATGGAGAACCAGTATCCAGATGAGGCGAAGCGGGAGGAGATCGCCAACGCCTGTAACTCCGTCATCCAGAAACCAGGTAGCAAGAGGGGTTCGTCAGTAAAGCGCACTTTTCTGAGTTCTGAAAATACATCTTGCTGAATTGATGTCAGCTGACAGGTGATTAGTCGCTGACGTTCATCATTATTAGTCTTTTTTTTTTTTAGTTAAAATGCTACCTACAGCTTATCGAACGGGAACACCTGCTGCTTTTCTGTCATGCACATCATTCATAAACACTGTTGGAGAAAGCAAGTGAGCAAGAGCTTTAGCTTTTTCCTGGAGTTTCTGATTGGACCGTTCGAACCTTCTGGAGATGTTTTTCCTCATCACAGAACTGCTTCACCACTCCTGAATTCTGAAGCTGCTTCGAAGCTGATGGTCATATGTCAACAGTTTAATTCGCTCTCATCAGTCGTCGCTAAAGGTCGCTCATCTGGAAGCTGTTGCTCTGTAACTGCGTTCGACTTTCCAGTGCCGGTCGCTTGTTTTGCTTCAATCACTCTGCAGCATCTTTAAAATCCACAAACTCCGTAGACTCATTCTTTGAAACTTTCAGTTCCAGTTTAGCTCCAGTTAGCCAAATTCTGTCTTATTTTTGAGGTTCTCTACCTGCAGATTCACAGGCTGCTGTTGTGGCGGTCCTCCACGTTACTCAGCTGCCTTTCCAAGTGAGTCTCTCCTACTTCAGACAGACTCTAACTCCACATTGTTATTCTGCTCTAAAGATCCACTGATGGATCCACTGGAGAGCCACTTGAACCAGTACCAACAGTAGGGTGGTAACTGTTGGATGCTTCAGTCCAGAGTGGGAGTAGGGGCAGCTGAAGGACATTTTGGACTATCATGTTAACAACACAGCCAGCCTGCAGGCAGAGAAACAGGATGTGTAAGCAGCGCCTGGAATTGCAAAATAAAATCCTTAGGATTTGCACATTTAACTGTTTTGTATGTTTGGTTTGTTTCAACCTTCAGGCTGTAAGCTGTCAGAGTTTGAGCGTGTGACGGCGCTGAAGGTTTACAACTGGTTCGCCAATCGTCGGAAGGAGATGAAGAGGAGAGCGAATATAGGTGAGGAAGATGGAAACATAGGAACGACAGATTAAGGCTTTTGGAAATGTTAGCTTCTGCTGTTAATTAATTTATATGCACATTTTCTACACATTATATTTATCTCACTTCTGCTTCCTCATCTGACCCAACCAGAAGCTGCCATTTTGGAAAGCCATGGGATCGAGGTACCAAGTCCAAGCTGCCACTCGAATGGGGAGGAAGGAGAGATGCAGGAGTTCACGGATCAGGTGACTCATCGATTCTCAGAGCAAGTAAGTAAACACGGACTTAATTACATGACCATATTCTACCCAAGGAGAGGCCAGAACAAATAACTAGCAGGAACACGTATAGGCCGGGTAAAACTGCTCGCGTTGATGCTCCATGTCGCACTGCTCAGAAAATTAAAGGAACCCTTTGAAAATGCATCAGCTCTGTAATCATGCTGGACATGTATGCAATCAGAGGGCTGAGTTCAAACAAGCCCCCCAAATGTAGAAAATGATGTAGCAGGTTAGTCCATTTTACCCAAATTTCATTGCAGCAACTCAAAATGGTGCTCAGTAGTTTGTGTGGCCCCCCTGTGGTTGTATGCATGCCTAAAGCATCGGGGCATGGTCCCAGTGAAATGACAGGTGGTGTTCTGGGGGTCTCCTTCCAGATCTGGACCAGAGCATCACTGAACTCCTGGACAGTCTGTCCCAGAGGTGTTCTACAGGGTTAAGGGTTAGCTAATACATTACTCAGCCCATAAGAGTGCAGATATTCAGCATAATGTTTTTCCCATTGAGATAAATTTTCATTTATTAATTAATTAATTTTTTTGAACAGTGAATTTACATCTTTTCCACTAAAAGCACAGAGCGGCGACGGTCATCATGAACAATATTCACGAGGCTGAATTGTAAAAGCAATACTGAGACCACAAGAATCCTAGTGATGCCGTACCTGCTTACACCTTAAGAAAACGGTGCATTTTTCACACATTTTCGAACGCCTTCAGTGTGAACAAACACGGAGCTGCTGCTGCTCTGCTGACACGCTACGCCTTCTGTGCAGACACAGTGTAGCAGCCAGAGTTTACTAAACTGTACAAATTGCAGGAAGTCACTGGGGCCAGAGCAGAAGCTGGGGCCAGCTGTTAGCTGGTCACAGCAGGCAAGGCATAAACACAGTATGCAGCACTTCCACAGCCGCTTCACTGCCCTTAACAAGCTGCCCAAGCCCAAACTGCTGCCTTAAGACTGACAAGAGGGCCTGAGCTGCTATACGAGAGAAAAGGGACCCACTTTATGAAGTGATATCGAATAAAAGCGACACTAAAGTCCCAACTGTTTTGCTTATGCATCCACAGGAAGACACGTCTTCCCAGAGGATTGTCGACCAACAGGATCCCGCCTCGCTCGCTTCTACGGAGGTGGCAGCCTTGCCGAGCCCCCGTCCTCAGGTTCTGGAACAGAAAGAAGAGGATTCAAAAAGGGAGAGCGTGGATGAAGAGTGACTGAAGTCGGGCACGTCTGTGTTCGAATTTTAATCAGATGAAATAAGGAAACATTAAGTGTCTCCTGCTCCACCAATGCAGGGCCTTTTCGGGCCTGAGTCACCCAAATATGAAAGGGAGGTGGGTGCGGAAGCTCGCTGAGGTGCCTCAGATGGTAAGGAGGCCACTGTATTTATCAACAGTAATCCTGCTTATATTAACGGCAATATACAGTATATAAACATCTAAATATATATATCAATATATATAGTGCATTCCAAGATGGTATTAAAAAGCCTAAATTCCTTAGAGGGAGAATCATGTAAGTGATACCTCGCCTATTTTAAGCTAAGCGTTTTCTGTTTTTGTGCTCCATGCCTTCTTTGAGCTTTGTTTTTTAAAGGGTGGCTGTTTGATGGACTGTGGTGACGGGAATGTGCTGAGCCTGCAGGTCGGGTGTGTCGGGGTGGTGGGGATAAAGCGCGACATCAAGGATCTAGCGTGCGGCGAAAAAAACGCCCTCTGTTTTCTTGAACGTCTTGACCTCTCCCCCCCTCCCTCCCTCCATCTGATCCGTAAGACTGCAACCTCAATCGGTCAATCGATTGATTCAATCAGTCGATCAATCAAGGAGTGCTGTTGCCATCAAAAGCCCTGAGGGACAACCGGAATCTCAGGTAATCCCAAAAATCGTGGATAAAGGCGGTGAAGAGTTGCACCAGGTTTCTTTCGTGTCTTAACGTGTGCTTCGTTTTCTTCGTCTTAACTGTTTAACCGAAACAGGAAGTGTTATTTATACCTTTTGATATTAGCCAGACATGCCTAGGACTAAGTATCACACTATCTGTCTTCTTCCTTATATTTAATGCTGCTGTCTCCAACCTCAGCCAGTGAAGCTAGACTAGAAACATAAAGTCTACTCAGTTTTTTTTTTCTTGTTTCTTTTTTATCGTTTGAAAGAACGCTAAAACAAATGTGATCAAAAATCATTGTGCGACAACATAAATGCTACAAGTTACCCTCACTTTCTATTGGGATAAGCTAAAGCTCGAGCTTGTAAATTTCTCAGGCTGCAAAGCTGCACTTCGGAGTGAATCTTACTGGAATTGTGTTCGAGGAGCTCTCCGACATGTACATAACCCAGAAAAAAAATCCCACACCTATGGGTGCTTTCCTTTCAGTCCATTAGCAGTATATAGAAACTTATTTGTCAGACTTGAAATATGAATAGCTGAACTTTGCATTACATAATCCCTCATATATTCACTGGCCTGAGGCCTTGGAAGTTACCTCCTCGATGTTCATATAATGAACAAAAACTCATGTTCTCAAATTGCGGGTGGGGGCGGCTACCATTTTACCTCCTAATGCCAAAGCTATGCCACGGTAGAGAAACCAGGAAGTGATGGTCACAACACTATAGCTATACAATAGATAGGTTTATTTGCTCAGTACAACACTAGCCAACTCAAGCTTACCTCAGAGTTCCTGTGTGACAGGCGTGCACGACGGGTTTAGTGTCACGAAGCTTCGACAGCAGCCCTCATTGTGACTGTTTATGATATGGACAGTGTCATGTAGCTTTTATGGCGCTGGGGTTTGCCCTGTGTTGATAATGTATTCTCACCTCAGACAGTTCCCTCGTCCAGCTTTGGACAGGAAAGCTGCACACCATTATGATTATAATGCTCCTCTCTATCTCTCTGCTTTTATCCGACAAGGGAAACCAGTAACGATAATAAAATTGTACACAACCAGTGGAATATGTCTTCATTTATTTCAAAGGATGTAATGTTAGGTTAGGCTTTTCCTTATTTCTTTTTTTATATTTATACTGTTATATTACAGCTAATGTTTCAAATGATGAGGTTGGTGTAGGCGTGAGTAACCCCCGTCAGGCAAAAGCTCTGGCTTCAGATTCCTCTAAACGTGTGGTTTAAGAAAGTTACTTCTACTGTGGGCTTGGTATGATGAGGACCTTAATATGGTCATTTTAGGTGCACAGCTCTGCTCATGAGCACACAAGCACCTCCGACCTGCTGTAAAACCTTTTCCTGAGAGGGAGCCAGTCGGAAGGAAGCTGAGCTAAAAGGGAAAGCAGCTAAAATGTCTGCTTTCAGACAGGCGGCGCTAAGGCCGATATAAGATCAGTAGAGATTATTTATGAACTAAGAATCATACAAAGCTGTTTTAGTAGATTTTTAGTTTTGTGTAGTTATCTGGTAGGGCTTACCAAAGTTATGTCATCATAATGAGATACAAAAAAACAGTTCATGATGTTCATGAACTCATGATTTTGAGTTCATGATCATTTTTTGTGTTACATCAAGAGTGAATATCCCCAATATAATCTTGTTCCTGCATGTGAAGAAGGGAGCACAGAAGCCCCACCCACCTGCTGTTCAGGCTTTGTGTTCAAGAGGGGCAGCCAATCAGAAGAAAGCCAGCTTACTGGGAAAGAGTACGGGGCTAAAACAGCTTGTTTCAGTCAGAGAATAAACTGAGGAGCTCATTAACAGCCGAGAGCAGTAGGTTGGGTTTGATTCTGGAAGGAGACACAAATCAAAAATGCTGAGCTACCTGCTGTGGTGGCCCCTTATGAACAAGGGAGCAGCTAAAAGCAGCTTTATTCAAAACCTAACCCAAAATAAACGGGGATCATTGTGAGTCATACAAAACTACTCTAGCAGAGTCCCAAGAATAAAAATCTAAACTAAATGTGAAAGGCCCTCTTTAAGGTTTTGTTTTTGGAATGGGAACATTCACTGAGGGATAAGAAGGTGAAAACATTTCAAACACTTTTTCATCACACGCCAATTAGAACAGAATTATTATTATTATAAATAATTTAAGAAAGAAATTATATAGTTAGTAGTTCTAACTTAATGTTAGTCATAATTCAATGTTAGTTTAAGCGAATGGTTTCTAATGAGTGCACCACAGATGTCAGGAGAAGTGGCAGCACTGTGATTTTTATCTGCCAGAGCAGAAAGTCAGGGTCACAGATGATGTTGGCAGATAACAGATGTAGTGGAACAACACGGTGAGCAAATCTTCCAAGTATTAGCTGCTAATAACTCACCAAACCTTCGTATCCAACATGACTGAAAATGTTCAACTCGAAGCACCAGCGGCCTGCAGGACTGTTGAAGCATGTCCTGTACAAGAAAATAAAATGCATTTGACCTCAAGATCAAATTTGAGTTCATTCACACGTTGAGCTGGTGTCCAAATTTCACCTGTTTAAAGTGGTGCTTCATTTCTCACCACAGGATGGCAATGTTATCACTTAACTGTGCATAAAATATGCTTGAGTGAAGAAAGGAGATCAAGCCTGAAAAATGTGTAAAGGCATTGTAAAGCCTATCAGCTGACATGGTATATGTTATTATGAACTGGGCCTGTAATGCTGTGATAAGCAGTTTGTTGGTGTGAGCTGAATGTTGAAGGGGACCTTAAAAGTGCTGGATACTCCTATTAAACATGGCTGAGATTTCATACAACACCAAATATAAGAAGAAAATGCTCCTCTCAGGCAAAGAAGCTCCCACCCTACTGGGTTTCACAGCTTTTGTTCCTCAGTGGCAGCCAATCAGAAGAAAGCTGATCTAGATGAAGGTTGTTTGAGACTGTGACAGAGTGAGTGCACCAGGGCCAAGTATAAGGTAAGTTAAATATGAACTGCGATTTCCAGTAGAGTCTAAGAATAAATACGAATGGGAATGAGTGTAATAGCAAGATAAAGAGCTGAGGGAAGAGTAATTAAGTACAAACAGGAGCCAGTTGGTAATTATTTGGAAGCTGATTCAGCAAATACAGAAGCTGATATATTTGGAATTACCTATGTGATCTCTGCACCAGCTGAGATCCTTATGGATGGGTGTGAAACGTGCCCCACGTTTTGATTGGCTCCAGTTTATTAGAAATGCACGGATTCCTGCTGAGACCCAACGACGATTACAAGGCAGAGCAGCAGCTGAAAAACAGTTTTAACAGCTATTCCAAAAGAAATAATGAATGCATATACAACTCAATCATTTCTGTTTATATAAGAAATTGGGGAAACTTTTGTATAGTGTCTGTCTGCCTCCCTGAGCCTGGTTCTGCTGGAGGTTTCTTCTTGTTAAAAGAAGGGGGGGTCATCTGTTGGGGTTTTCTCTGTATCTGTAGGGTGTTTACATTACAATATAAAATGCATTGAGGTGACTGTGATTTGATTCTATATAAATAAAGTCGAACTGATTCTGAGATTTTAATAAACTTTTAGTAATGCACTGCAATTCTGTACTTTGAGTTGCACAATTTGTAACTCACTGAGTTTTAGCAGTGTGCGTGACACAACTGCACAAGGTTAAAGAGAAAAATACTATTTAGAAAGACCGCTCCATTCACCATGAACACACTGACAAGCAACATGATAAAAGTGATGATCCTAATCCTTCAGAAATCTAATTGTTTCAGAAAGTGCTGGAAGTCTGAGTCTCTACTATTGTTGTGGGTCCTTGTATGCTTGCAGTCAACAGCTAAGAAGAGTTCCTTTACATGTTGTTCCTTCCTTAAACCACATGAGGGAGACATTGTCTGCTGCTGATTGCTAGGCCGTCGTCAGCAGACTGTTCCTACTGTACCTTAAGGCAGTAGTGTTAATGTTGAACTGTTGGATCTTCTTTTGAAAAGGAAAAAAAAATCTTACCCTGCATGTTAAAAATGACTTGAAAGAGAAAGTGCTTTTTACTAAGACTTCTTCACATTTTTTTTGCCTCCTCATGCTGGTATAAGACAATATGATGAGTGTCAGCAAGTGTCAGAAATCACACTGACGTATTTGCAAGTCAAATCAGCTCGGCTCCCTTTGTTTTTTTTCTGTTGTCGGGCATTTTTTGAATAATCGTGTTGCAGTAAAATCCTCAACCATCTGGTACGTTTAGCAGCCCGCCTGAAGCAAACTCCCTATCCTACAGGCCGAATGCATCTCACTGTGCATGTGTTCAGTTAATTCATGCTGTAAAAATGTGTCAGTCTAAAGTAATTTTGTGATGCATGGCTTTAGCTGCTTTTATTTTATTTATTTATTGTGATCTTATGATCATCCAGTCTAGATATGATCATCAATATGAAAAACTCTGATTCAAGAAGATATATGAGTCAAGATAACACATGTTGAGATGATGCAAACTGTAGTAATTTGCTTTACTGAAAATCTTTTGCTTTTGAATCAAATCTTAACTTCTGAAATAAGCTAACAGGTAAGTGAAAAGATCCACGCCACTCATTTCTGTGCACGCCAAGCTTAATTAAAAGTCTGATAACAGGTTGACAGGCCTGCACAGTCTGAAAGACTAAACACGTGCCATTTAATAACTTTATATTGACTACATTACATGAGCTGAATGTCGTCTTCGCCTATCTCGTTTCTTTTTTAAGTGGTCACGCATTGCTTTCCTTGCTTGTCTTGATTGCCCTTAAATTTAGGGAGGGTTCAACGAGACCGCTCTCATTCCCAACGCGTAACATACCGACGATTTGTGACGATTTGTGACGATTTGTGACGTCCCGAGGCGTCCCAAGGTAACCTTCCGCGTCCCTATGATACGCACCAGATTGTGGATGGAATCCAATAGAATGACGCTCACGGCGGTAACACATCCGGGTTAGCCGTGTATTCCAGCCCTAACCATAACCAAAATCATTAGATAGTGTCTACACACGCACTAGTGTTTTAGTGCGTGTGTAGATTCATTCCAAACAGTTCTTATGTTTCTGAACACATAACATACAGACGGGTTGGGTGGCCCAAAGCTTAACATACCAGTGATTTGGCACATAGTGTCATTATGTTGCGCTTTGGGAATGTGTTGGTTTAACTGAATACTGCTTTAAGCTGAACTGTGTTATTAGGGATTACTGCTGAACTTACCCATGGTATTGATCTGATATCAGTGTCTGAATGTCTTACCTGGATGATGAGCTGCAAAGATAAAGTGGACATGTTTCCCCATAGATAGATCGATATGATGATGAACGCTAGTAATAAACCTGGACCAAACTTTTAAAAATGAGTGTGACTAATTCCTGTAAATGCCCAGTTTTCAGCTGTTCTCCCTGACTCTTGTGTGTATGATTTCAGTAATGATTTCATGTTTATTCCCAGCAGGAGCGTTTGTCCTTTGCATTCAGTTTTGTCCTTAACCTGTGTATATCTCAGAGATACAAACAGTCTTGGTAAAACTGCATTTGATGCCCTGAGAAGGAGAGCAGGTTGGTAAATGTTGGGTAGCCAAGCTAGCTGGTCCTAGCTTCTGACTAGCAGTCCTAAAGAGTTTTAATAATGACCCATTTTCTAATGTATTCTTACTTTCTCTGTAGCCACTGATTCAGTTTTTACTCCACTGACAGCTGCCATTTATTGTGATGCATAAACATGGGCGTCATAATAAAATCTCACTGAATTTGAGTTTGGGTTGTCACTGTTACCAACTATTAATTTGTACTTAGTTAAATAAAAACATCCCCTTTCAAAGTGCTTATTCTGCTTTGATTAGTAAAATGTAAAACTGTTTTGATTGTTTTGAAAGCTCAGTTTAAGGCCGTTAGTATCAGCAAGTTTTTCAGTCATGTGACCACAGACCACTTACAATAATTTGTCTGCCATTTTGGTCATGCAAGCTCGAATGAAAAAGGCCTCATTCGCACAGGCGTAGAAACCAGTTGGCAAGCATCTGGCAAACACTGGTCATGGGGAGAAAAAATGTTCCCAG